TGTGAACCACTGATCTTAGCCTTTTTTGCAAAATTGGAGTAGGGTCCATATGTGCAGTAGGATGATAAGGGAAATATAAATCTGGACAGATGTCCTATATACCTGGTGTTTCCAGATCCTCTCAGGATACTGTGTATTCCTTTTTCCCTTCACATGCCTACATGTTCCCACAGAGACAACAGCATTCAGTTTGTATAGACCAGTGGTCGGCAAACTCATTAGTCAACAGAGCCAAATATCAACAGTACAACGATTGAAATTTCTTTTGAGAGCCAAATTTTTTAAACTTAAACTATATAGGTAGGTACATTCATATTAACTTAATTAGGGTACTCCTAAGCTGGCCTTTGCTAAAAACGTCCTCAATCTGATTGAGGTACGTTTGCTGAGGTCGACCCCTTCCAACTCTCCCATCCACACTCGTCTTGTATACTTGTTTCGCCCAGGCCAAAAACCGACTTCTGCGCATGGGCCACGAAGTTTCAATCGCACTGTATGTGCGCACCTGCACGTGGTATTTTGTGGAAGAGCCACACTCAAGGGGCCAAAGAACCGCATGTGGCTCGCGAGCCGTGGTTTGCTGACCACTGGTATAAACTGAAGCAAGGAAAACAGTCAGCAGCTATATGTGAATTTTGTTCCTTTTTATAATTAGAGTTGTAGAAGAGGAGAGATATGATTTTTTTTAAAAAAATACCTTCCACTGATGGGTAGATATTGTTGGGAAGCAGATAATTCTTTTTTTTTTTTTTTAAGAATTATTGTTGAAAGTATTACATGTGTCCCCTTTCCCCCCCATTAACCCCCTCTTGCCTGCCCCAGGCCCTCACTGCTCCATTGTCTGTGTCCATGGGGCCATGCATATATGCATACAAGGTCCTTGGTTGATTACTTTCTGCCCACCCACCCTCCCCTGCCTTCCCTGGGAGATTCCGCACTCTCTTCTATAGGAAAGCAGATTATTCTTTAATATCAGATAATTTTCTAAAACATATAATTGTCAGGCAATAGCATTACTTTTATTTTTAATCCTCATTGGTGGATATATTTTTATTTATTTTTAGAGAGCGATGAAGTGGGGGGAAGAGAGAGAGAGAGAAACATCGATTGATTGCCTCCCGTACCCACCCCAACCAGGGATGAAACCTGAAACCTTTTGGTATACTTGACAATGCTCCAACCAGTGGATCCACACAGCCAGGGCAATAACATTACTTTTATTATAAGACCAGAGGCCCGGTGCACGGATTCTTGCACCAGTGGGGTCCCTCGGCCTGGCCTGTGGGGATCGGGCCGAAACCGGCTCTCAACATCCCCCCAAGGGGTCCTAGATTGGAGGAGGGCAGTTCTCGGGTGACACACCCTGGAATCAGGCTCCTTCCTCTCTGGTTTCGGGTGCGTCACCCGAGAACCACAGCTGCCAAGTCACCGCAGCTCTGCAGCTTCTGTGTTGAGCTTCTGCCCCCCTGGTGGTCAGTGTGTGTCATAGCTACCAGTCTGAGCATCTGCCCCCTGGTGTTCATTGCGTGTCATTGCTACTGGTCAAACGGTTGGATGGTTGCTTAGGCTTTTATATATATACTAGAGGCCCAGTGCACAAAAATTTGTGCACTCGGAGGTAGGGGGTCCCTCAGCCCAGCCTGTGCCCTCTCGCAGTCTGGGACCCCTCGGGGTTGACCACTTGCTGGCTTAGGCCTGCTCCCCAGGGGGATTGGGCCTAAGCTGGCAATCAGACATCCCTCTGGCAGCCCAGCAGCCCTCAGGGGATGCCCACTTGCCAGCAGGGAGCAGACCTAAGCTGCAGTTGGACATCCTTAGCGCTGCTGAGGAGGTGGGAGAGGCTCCCACCACCACCACTGTACTGGGAGCCATCAGCCTGGCTTGTGGCTGAGCAGAGCTCCCGGCTGTGAGAGCGAATGACCACCAGAGGGCAGCTCCTGCATTGAGCGTCTGACCCCTGGTGGTCAGTGTGTGTCATAGTGACCAGTCATTCCCAGTCTTTCTGCTGTTAGGGTCAGTTTGCATATTACCCTTTTACTATGTAGGATAGAGGCCTGGTGCACGGGTGGGGCCGGCTGGTTTGCCCTGAAGGGTGATCCGGATCAGGGTGGGGTTCCCGCTTGGGTGCCTGGCCAGCCTGGATGACGGGCTGATGGCTGTTTGCAGCTGGTCACACCCCCTTCAGGGTGGGGGTCCCCACTGGAGTGCCTGGCCAGTCTGGGTGAGGGGCTGAGGGCCGTTTTCAGGCTGGTGGGCGACTGAAGCTCCCAGCCTCTTTTTTTTTTCTTTTTCTTTTTTCTGGGATTTATTTACCTTCTATAGCTGTCACTGGAGCTGAGAGCCGGCTCCAGCTCTGAGGCTGTGGCTGGCTGAAAGCAGGTATCTGGGTTTGTTTAGCTTCTATAATTGCAACGTTGTTGCATCTGGAGCTCAGAGCTGGGCTACGGCAGGTGGGGCACCTTGGCTTCCTCCATCACTGGAGCAAGCAAGCCTCATGTTCGCTTCAGCTGCGTGGCTGCTGGCCACCATCTTGGTTGGCAGTTAATTTGCATATCACCCTGATTAGCCAATGGGAAGGGTAGCGAAGTTACGGTTAATTACCATGTTTGTCTATTATTAGATAGGATAGGTAGTGTTTGCTGTACTGAAGCTTAGTAGTTAAACCAAATTGTTACCAAGTCCTTAGCCAGGGAAAAGAAGAAAAGTCTATAAAGGAAAATCTATTAGTTATTGGACTCCTTCCTCAGCAGAAACTCTGCAAGTTAGAAGAGAGTAGAACCAAATATTCAAACTACTGAAAGAGAAATTACTGGCCTTGAATAATATATCCAGCAAAGTTATCCTTTAGATATGAAGAAGAAATGAAGACTTTTCCAGACATACCGAAGATGAGGGAATTTATCACCAGAAGCCTTCCATTGCAGGAAATACTCAAGGGGGTTATTGTACCTGAAACAAAGAACAAACTGTCACAAAACTACAAGTAAGATCATCAACAAACTTACAGCATAAACAGGGATAATTTGTGACAACAGAAACATAAAAGGGGATGGATAAAGGACTGAATTTGCAAAGGAGAATGGAGCCCAAATGCATTCAAAAGAAAAAGGACTGCTGTATATATGACACTTACTTTTTCATAAACTTAATGGTAAACACATACACACACAAAAAAACTGAGACACATAACTTAAAAAAAGAGGAAACAGATGAAAAAAGTATGGAATACTGCCAAATAAAGCAACAATCGGAAACACAAAGGAAAAAGAACCAATGTAGGCACAGAGCTACCAGAAAACAAAAGATAAAATGGCTATAGGAAATCCTCATACATCAGTAATTACCCTAAATATTAATGGACTGAATTCACCAATAAAAAGGCACAAAGTAACAGATTGGATCAAAATCTAACCATATGCTGCCTTTAGGACACACATCTAAGCTGCAACCATAAAAATAGGTTCAAAAGGATTCTCCAAGCAAATAGCATCCACAGAAAAGCAGGTGTAGCCATACTTATATCTGACGAAATTAAAATCCTTCTTTTCTCCTCTTTTTTTTTTTTTCTTTTCATTTCCACTGTCCCTGGAACCTTACAGAGACCTGCATCATATTTTACTTGAACTATAATTTCAGTATATTCTTAGCTTATCCTCTTCGTAGGCCAGAGTTTAATTTCTTTAGGTGTCTCTTCTCAAAATGATTGTTTCAAATTTCCTTCATAACCTAACCCCACCATCCACTTAACAGTTCATTCATTAGATTTAATGAGTTCCTAACATGTATCAGGCTGTGTGCTCAATTGTGGATACTGTTTGGATTTCGGGGATTGAGGGGAAAGTACATTCACTACTTCCCTACCCCTTCAAATTTTCAATTACTTCTTCTTTGCTTTTAAATTTTTTTAAATTGATTTCAGAGAAGGGAGGGAGGGGAGAGAGAGAAAAACATTAATGATGAGAGAGAATTATCAATCGGCTGCCTCCTGCGCACCCACCCTGGGAATCGAGCCCACAACCCGGGCATATGATCTGACCAGGAATCAAGCAGTGATCTCCTGGTTCATAGGGTGCCGCTCAACCACTGAGCCACCCTGGCTGGGCACCTTAATGGCATTTTAACTTTTTTAAGAGTTTATTTTAGCCAGAACCGGTTTGGCTCAGTGGATAGAGCGTCGGCCTGCGGACTCAAGGGTCCCGGGTTCGATTCTGGTCAAGGGCATGTACCTTGGTTGCGGGCACATCCCCGGTGGGGGTGTGCAGGAGGCGGCTGATCGATGTTTCTCTCTCATGGATGTTTCTGGCTCTCTATCCCTCTCCCTTCCTCTCTGTAAAAAATCAATAAAATATATATTTTTTTAAAAAAGAGTTTATTTTAGTCAAACTGGTGACATATACCAGAGAGCAAGATCTCAAATGCTCCTAATTGGCTTTTTTTTTAAAAAAAATACATTTTTATTGATTTCAGAGAGGAAGGGAGAGGGGTGAGAGAGAGACAGACATCAGTGATGAGAGAGACATCATTGATCGGCTGCCTCCTGCTTGCCCCCACTGGGGATTTAGCCTGCAACCCGGGTATGTGCCCTTGACCAGAATCAAACCCGGGACTCTTCAGTCCATAGGCTTACGCTCTATCCACCGAGCCAAACCGGCTAGGGCCTTAATGGCATTTTTAAATAGTCATTCTGTAGTGATGGGGTTTTAAGCAGTAAACCTTTTGTGATTCAGTTTTCTTATATGTAAAATGAAGATTAGGGGTAATGTGAAGATTCAGTACATTAATACATGAAACTGACTGCTATTAGTTTAAGATTTCTAAAGACAGGGGACAAATTAAGTATCTCAAAGATGTTTTTCAGCCTAAAGAATCTCTGAAAATATGACTATGGCTTATAATACCCACTATATTTACTCACCTCTCTCCTAAGAGGATTACCTCTAAACTGTTGAGCATAATAAAATGTTAAGTATAACACTTGACACAGTATTTTATTTTTGCAGATGTTCTCAAATAGTGATGAAGCTGTAATCAATAAAAAGCTTCCCAAAGAACTCCTGTTACGGTAAGTCTGAATGCTAATTTTATGTTTGTGTGTGTGTGTATCATATTTGTCTATTTAAAAACTTATACTTTTCCTATATTAGTAATATCTGGATTATCTGAATTTATAAATTTATTGATTTTTTTGTTAAATAATCTTGTCTTTTCTAGATATAAATATTTTTGAATGTTTAATCTAGAAAACTTTCTCCTACCCATTTTGAACCTATATATGTTTTTGTTTACTCATTTTCCCTTTGCCCTATTCTTTTAGATAATGTAAGAGATAGCATATTTTATTTTAGTATAGTACTGATTTTTTTTGAAGAGTGATTTTAATCCATCCCTTCCCCATACTTACGTTTGCAACAAAATATTACATATACTGAGGTGCTGTATAGAAGAGTTACAACCCTTTATTTTACTGATAGAAAGGCAAAAGCTATTTGAGACTCTTTCTTTTCCTATATTGCACTTATAATTTTACCTTTCTTACTTTTAATGTTTAGAAAGTACATTTGGGGTCACCCATAACATAAAACACACAGCTCCTGATTTACATACCTGACTTAGGAATCACCTAGGAAGAAACAGGCATTAGGGAAGTTATTTTCAGTATCCATTATTTGGGCACTTAATCACACCATTCTTTGTTCACTTATGTGAAATACCATGACTGAGAAAGAAAGGTGTATTCTCACTTGCAATTATAAGAAGTTGTTATTTGTGCTTAGAGGTATTACTTCTTGTTCTTAGCTTGCTACAAAGTCTAGCCAGCCCATAACCAGCCTGTCCGTGCTTCAGGATTTATATGTCTTAAGTCCTCCACTATATTGTAAGATCTCTGTAAACAGGGACTATCTATATATATAAAAGCCTAAGTGACCGTCCGACCATCTGACTGGTAGCTATGACGTGCAATGACCACCAGGGGACAGACGCTCCAACCAGTAGCTATGAAGCACACTGACCGCCAGGGGGCAGACGCTCAGCGCAGGAGCTGCCTAGCTATGGTGACTTGGCAGCAGCGGTTCTCAGAGGAGGGAGCCCGATTCCGGGGGGTGTCACCCGAGAACCGCCCTCTCGCAATCCGGGACCCCTCAAGGGATATCAGAGAGCCGGTTTCGGCCCAATCCCCACAGGCCAGGCCAAGGGACCCTGGACCTCTAGTATCCTATAAATATTTATGTAGTACCTTAAACGTTGGAGATACTAAGAAAAAATAACGGAATTGAACTTGGAATGAGTTTTTCCCTGGAAGCATTGCTTATGTACATGCTGGTTGACTAAAGCTTAAGATAATAGCAATACACCCTTGACTGCCCAGGGCCATTGGAGAATATACAATCCTGAATATATTAAGTAATGTCTTGAGTATCCCTCAAGTTTTAGCAAAATTTTAGCTATATATTTTTAGGTAGGTTATGTTCTTAACTGCTGTTGTAAGCTGAGTATACTAAGGCATTCTTTAGGGTTTTTTTATAATGACATTTATTTGAATGCTCAGTGTTACATTGTATTATTGTAGTTTACCTTAAGACTCACTAAGATTTAGGGAAATTACTTGACTCCTTGTTAACTGGCCATACCATATATGGCTTATGTTTTTCTGTTTTTGCCATGAAACCCAAATTTCTTACTATGGCCTACAAGACCCCTCATGATCTGGCATTATGGTTTAAATTGACTGCTTTCTAACCTAAACAGGAAACCTACCTACCAGTGATTCTGTGAGGAAATGAGCTTGAGTTCCAAATAGTCGATCTGTACTTCCTGATGGGAACAAGTCCCTTCCTAAATTGGAGACAGAGTGAAATTGATATCCTGAGAAGGAAGGAAATGACTAGATACCATAAAACATACTACTTATGAATGCATTTAAGCATATAAAACATCGATTTTGTTTAAAGCATTAAGACAAATAGAAAAGAGGCTTTTTTGATACCTTTGACATTACATCAAGCAGATAATTGATCAATATAAATGTTAATAAATTCAATTTGGGTATTTGTAATTTATTGAATGTGATATTTCATAAAGTTTAAGTTTTGTTTAAAGAATACAGAGCATGACCAGAAACAACAGATGGCCTGGGAAGGAAAACTAGATAACTGGAAGATAGGAATAGAAGGAAAGCTTACTTTTTATTAGGCTTTTTTGGTATCTTTTAGCTATTCTTATTTGAAGTCTTCATTTTGAAATAGTAGCATACTTACAAAAAGCTACAAAAATAGTTTTGAGAATACCCTTCCCTAAGAACTGAAATTTTATATAATTAAACAATACAGTTATCAAAATTAGGAAATTAACATTGATATAGTACTTTTAACTAATCTACAGACCTATTCAAATTCCTCAGTTGTCCCAATAATATCTTTTATTCTTGCCCAGGATCCATTCCAGGATTAGACATTCCATTTAGTTGTCGTGTCTGCTTAGTTTTCTTTAATCTGGGGCAGTTCCTTAGTCTTTCTATTGTTTTCATAATCTTGATACTTTTGAACTGTTACTTTATAGACTCCCTCAATTTGGCTTTGTCTGGTGTTTCCTTATGATTAGGTTATGCACTTTGACAGGTATATTACAAAAATGGTGTTGTGCCCTTCTTCGTTTATAATAATAGGAGGCACATACCTTAATATGCTTATTACTGGTGATATTAACTTTGACCACTTAGTTAAGATAGTGTTTTTCTGTTTCTCCACTGTGAAATTATTTTTCTTTGTTATTGATAAATATCTTGTGGGGAGAGATATTGAGACTATGTAGGGGTTCTGTTAAAATACAGTTTAAGCCCTAGCTGGTGTTACTCAGCGGTTAGAGTGTCAGCCCCTCACACTGAAGGGTCTCAGGTTCGAATCCTGGTCAAGGGGCACCCAGACCTAGTTGGGTGCATGTGGGAGGCAACCAATCAATGTGTCTCTCTCTCCCTCCCTCTCTCCCTTCCACTTTCTCTAAAAATCAATGAAAAAAATATCTTTGGGTGAGGATTTAAAAAAATACAGTTTAATAAATATTATACAGCATTTGGTTTGGTTAGATTTTAAGTTACATCATACATCATTGATTCCAGCATATATTAACTTACACGGAGGACAATTGTGTTCTTAGGACCCTACTATTTCCTTGTAAATGCAAGGCCATAGCCAAGTTACCAGTGAATTAAGCAAGTGTTCTTGTATCCTCTTAACTTTAACTTACTGATTCTCTTCCTTCCCTTTTAAAACAAAGTTTATTATTAATGTGGTAGCAAGCTGGAATCCACTGTTTGCATAATGTGAAATCAGTTAGCAGAATTGACTGTACTCCCTTTCAGAGCAGAGCCATATGCATTTATTTAGGAGTGCCTCTTGATAAATGAATGTCAGTGTTTATAAGACAAAGAGTCTTGTGTATTTTCCAAGAGCTACTGTAAAGTGACTTGTTCCTCAGAGATTTCCTCTGAAGATGATATTGATAACTGTAAAAGTGACATGAAGGATAAGGCTGCTTGAGCCCACACATGCCCTTTTAGCTATGAAACAAGTTAGCTATGAAAGCAGTTTCAGAATGAGGATTATTATTACTTTAAAGAATCTACAATACTTTTCATTATTTTTTCAACTGTTAGAAGTGTTGGGACATAATTATCATGTAATAGTATATACTATGTGTGTGTGAGTTTGTAGAAGAGGGGAGTGAGGGAAAGATAAGAGATTATTGTTTCCCCTTTTGTGAACAGAGACAAAAGGTGTTTTTTAAAAATATATTTGTATTGATTTCAGAGAGGAAGGGAGAGGGAGAGGGAAATAGAAATATCAATGATGAGAGAGAATCATTGATCAATGGCCTCCTGCACACCCCCCATGGGGATCAAACCCGAAACCAGGGCATGTGCCCTGAGCAGGAATCAAACTGTGACCTTCCGGTTCATAGATCAATGTTCAACCACTGCCAACTGGGTGACAAAAGGTCTTTGATTCAAATGTATTATAAGATTTGAGGCACAGGTTTCTTTTTGGTATAGTATATAGTATTGTAGTTGAGGATTTTTTCCCCTAACCCTAAATGTCATTTGTAATATTCTTTATTTTAGAGAATTTATAAGCTTTGCACATACGGCCCATTATTAAATTGGATGGGCAGTATTATTTTTGTAAATTGCTATACTTTATCTTATAATAAAGTGGTCTCTATCTCTTTTTAGGATATTTTCTTTTCTGGATGTTGTTACCTTGTGTCGCTGTGCTCAGGTCTCCAGGGTAAGAATGCTTGACATAATTAGAGGGGTACCCCTTCCTGACACTGATAATAATCAGCTTCTGTAGTAGGGAAACTATTTACTTTAGATGTTAGTTGAATGTTGGGTTTCAAAGGATGTTGTTTCACCCATGGCATACCCAAATCTATGTAATTCTACAGTTCTACTACATGTACCGTCTTGACTATTTGTAGAATACAAACAGGAAACATTTTCCAGGAAAAAGTATTAAACATACAAATTAAAAGATTGGTCTCTACTGAGAATTGTAATAAAACAGTGTTTCATTATGTTTTCCTAGTTAATTTTATACACACATACACATGGAAGGCTCTTGAGGTCTGATTCGCATGTCACCTCCCCTTGTTTTTCTCTCAAAGGTAATAGCTAGATTTTTTAAATTGTAGAGCAAACCAGATTCCATCCTCAAAGTCAGTTTTTACATTATACTTAATTACCCATTTTTGCCAAGTGACTTGCCATGACAAAACAGTGAAACATCATAATCTTATTGGCTGCCACTAATATAAAGAATAGAAACTCTTTTGTGGAAAAACTGCTTTATGAACCATTCCTAGTCTCTATTGTAATATAGATTTATAATAATTAACCTAATAAAAGGAATGTGTACTTAAAATTATCATCTTTTTATAAACTGGACAGTGGTACAATCCTAGGTCCGTAATACGTTTATGTCATACCATCCAGTATTGTGTTTATCTTTGTAGGTAGACCTAGGTTTTTCTTCAAATTGCCAACACCACTCTCAAACGAAACACAAAACTTGCCGTAGAAAATTCACTTTGTCTTGCTATCTTTCATGTAATTTCTGCATCCTAAAAGCCATACACTAAATCTGTGCATCAGCTATTTTTGAAACAATCAGTAGTGTTTTGGTGATTTATGACATGTTTGTCCCTGGTACTTGAGTGACATGGCTTTTTGTCTCCATATGAATCTGAGGTCATCATTGAGAAACAAAATACTCAGACCAGTGTCTAAACCTGTTTAGTTACTGCATCTAATCTTAGCAATGTTGACTTGAGTGGATTTTAATTTTTTTCACTTGCAGGTTTTTCTTCTCTCTTAATATGTTTTAATTTAAAAGAAGTAAAGCACAATGCCCATTTTCAGTAAATCTGGATAGTTAGTACATCAGTAGTTACCTTATTCTCTGTACTTGAAGTATTTAATTTGATAAAAAAAAAAACAAGACTCTAGAAGGAAACCTGTCATTCCGAATTTCAGTCTCAGTTTGGCATGTTTCCTATTGCTAGAGAAAGTGTAGTGTAAGGAAATGGGAAATATCAAACCAAATCAGTATATTTAGCCCAAGAATCTAGTAAACATATGAACTTTAAAAGTTTTATCTGTTATCTCCCATAGCTAGCCATTTAAGAAACCATTGGAAAAATATGAAGTTACAAAAAGAAAAGTAACATTGAACTCCCGAGAAAACCTTAAAGATTTCTAGAATAATAACTTTGTTTACTTTCATATCCCTGACTTATTTCTTACTGATTGTGTGACAGTTATTCTGTGGTCAAGTGTATCCACAGTTTTTAAAAATTTCAGTATAAATCTATGTCTTGAATGTTATAGTAAGAGATGATATTCTAAGTTTATAGCTCAACAATATTAAGACTTTTGTTTACACTTTAAATTCAATAGGGAAAACTTTTAAAGACTTTCTTATTAAAATACAGCAAATTAACTCTGAATCATTTTCCACCAGATCCTGAAAAGTTGAAAAGTTTAGAAACTTTCTTACCTCCCTTTAGCTTACTGAAGAAATGTATCAGAAGTCTTAAACCAGCGGTTCTCAACCTGTGGGTCGTGACCCCTTTGGCGGTCAAACGACCCTTTCACAGGGGTCGCCTAAGACCATCCTGCATATCAGATATTTACATTACTATTCATAATAGTAGCAACATTACAGTTATGAAGTAGCAACGAAAATAATTTTATGGTTGGGTCACAACATGAGGAACTGTATTTAAAGGGCCAGAAGGTTGAGAACCACTGTCTTAAACTTTCACTGTTTTGCAGTGATCACTGAATTTAGTTAGAGGGAAAAGTGACCAATTGAAAAACACGCCTGAGTGAGCAAATTGGTCTCAAGGAAAGCATTAAGGCTCTGTCAGGTATACAGAGAAATCGTGCTATCTTTTCAAAGTCCCAGGTTACCATATCACAGTTTCAAGTTTGACCAAGTGATGCTATGGATAGCAAATAGGTATTGAACATAGCAGTATTCATTGTACTGTCCTCTTTCTTTGGTTTCACCCTCATCTTGATCCTTGTTGAGAGATAGAATAATGGGCTTACTTTTCATCAGCTGAACTATCTCTTTGGGATGAGAAACTAGAATCTTCCAGTTAGAAAACAATTTCTGGCTATGATACATATTACAGCCTGTTCTTTCCCCAAGCCCCTAAAATCTATTGTAGCTCTACCCACTCATTTATGAGATAATCTCATTGGAGAATAAAGTATGAATAAGAAGGCAGGCTTATTGGGAGTTAATGGTGGGGGACTGAGAAATGTTTCCGTCAATTTCAGTCATTAGTAGAATGAATTGTGAACACGAATATTGCTGGGTTTTCTCCTTTGTTCCAGCTCCTGCTCATTCTGTCTCTTTTTCTTCTAAATAGGCCTGGAATGTTCTGGCTCTGGATGGCAGTAACTGGCAGCGAATTGACCTGTTCGATTTCCAGAGGGATATTGAGGTATAATTATGTGGTGTGTGGCCCCATTTCTCTTGTTAAGATGTAATTACAGCATGGAACAGATTAGTGCAACCAAATAAATCTTCTTTCCCTGGAGAGACAAAGTATTAATTTTGGTGCATATGAACTTCATGGGAGCCTGTAATGTTCCCAAGAACTTATTCTTTGAGTCTTTGAGAATGAACAGAATTATTTAATTGAAATAATACTATTTGTACTAATAGGAAAAAGCAATTTTTAAAAAGTTTTGTGGTGAAAATATGAGCCTGTATTTACTCATTTTAAGGAAGTCTTTTTATATTTATTGAAGAATCAGTTAACTTGTTGAGGTATGATATTTGCATAAATTCTTCTTGAGATGGGCGTTTTGGTTCTTGGAAAGATTATAGATAGTTTTGTGGAGAATGAAAAAAAGAATAAAGTCAAAGTCATTTATTGAATTATTTTGTTGGAGAGAGATTCTCCACCCCCCCCCTTTTCTCCCATATTTTATCTCTTAGTATTGTTTATTATTTCTAAAATGGAGAAGCATAATAGCTTAAACTGAAATTATTTTAACCTCAATTTGAGCTCTGTGGTCCTTGGTTTTCTCATCAAAAGAGTGGAAATAATAAGAGTCCTCATTGTATTATAAGAATTAAATAAATTTCACTGGAACTTAATTATCTTGAAGATCCATGTAAGGATTTTTTTAAAAAGCCTCACATGAACTTTCCCTTATCTTTAAAGGTGCCTTTAAAATACTATCCATTGACATTAAACTGTATTTTTGTTTTTCACCATTATTTAATCTAATGGAAGTGACTGTTTAAAGCAACATGGCCCACACAATCATTCAGCAAGCTTTTGTTAGGTGTTCATTGAGTCTCTGCTGTAATTATAATACTATAGGAAGCACTTTAGAAAGAATACAGAAATAATAGAGTTAATATCTTTCAGTGGCTGCAGTTTAATTAGAAGGGCAGTTGGGCAGTCTACCTTAATCTATAATAATAAAAGCTAATTAGACCGGACAGCTGAACGAACTTCCAGACGTCCTTCCTGACAAAGCCACAGTGGCGGGGGCAGAGGCAGAGGCAGTTAGGGGCGATCAGGCAGGCAGGCAGGCAGGGAGGCAAGTGGTTAGGAGCCAGTAGTCCCGGATTAGGATTGCGAGAGGGTGGAGGCTGGCCTGAGGGACCCCTCCCCCACCCCCATGCACGAATTTCGTGCACCGGGCCACTAGCTTGCTTGCTTGCTTATTTATTTATTTATTTACACTAATAAAAGACAAGGATGCTAATTGACCATACCTTCGCTACGCCCTAAGCCACACCCACCAGCCAATCAGATCGACTATATGCAAATTAACCCAACCAAGATGGCGGCCAGCAGCCATGGAGCTGGAGCAAGCGGGAGGGCTTGGTTGCTCGGGCTATGGAGGAAGCCAAGCTTCCTGCCAGCCCTGAGCTGGCTGAGGCCTCCGCTCATGCAACAAAGTTTCAATTATAGAAGACAAATAAATCTCAGATACCTGCTTCCAGCCAGCCTCCACTGGGAGCTTGGGTGGCTGGGGTTTGTGGCCAGCCTGCAAACAGCCATCAGCCCCTCACCCAGGCTGGCCAGGCACTCCTATATAATAAAAGGGTAATATGCAAATTGACCCTAACAGCAGAACGACTGGGAATGACTGGTCACTATGACACACACTGACCACCAGGGGACAGATGCTCAATGCCGGAGCTGCCCCCTGGTGGTCAGTGAGCTCCCACAGGGGGAGCTCTGCTCAGCCACAAGCCAGGCTGACGGCTGCCAGTACAGTGGTGGTGGTGGGAGCCTCTCCCGACTCCTCAGCAGCGCTAAGGATGTCCGACTGCAGCTTAGGCCTCCTCCCCGCTGGCAAGTAGACATCCCCCGAGGGCTCCTGGGCTGCCAGAGGGATGTCTGATTTCCAGCTTAGGCCCAATCCCCCCAGGGAGCGGGCCTAAGCCAGCAGGTGGTCATCCCCCAAGGGGTCCCAGACTGCGAGAGGGCACAGGCCAGCTGAGGGACCCCCCCGCCCCCGAGTGCACAAATTTTTGTGCACCGGGCCTCTAGTTATGGAATAAGTAGCTAAGACAATTTCAGCTTCTCCTTCTCTCTCTTTTATTTCATTTTAATCAACATTTGTTTTCTTCATGTCATGTATTCTAAAGTGTGAGTCACATAAAAAGGTCAACAGTGCCAGGGCGGAGAGACCCCACTTTGAGTTGAAGGCTACTGTCCCCAGTGTGTGTGTCCCCATGATCACACCAGACTAATCACCTTTGTTGCGTAGGCTGCTCGCCTCTGCCTTCCCACACTGAAAGGCTCAGAGCTTTCTTCAGTGTTATCTTGGGTGTGCTCATGAACAGTCTCTCTGTGTCTCACGGCACCCGCCAAGCTCTCCTCCAGACCTCCCCCTCCTCCCAGAAATGGCTCCTGGCCAGCACAGCTCCAAAACCTGCCCTGGGGGCAGCTAGACATTCTGCAGAGATAGAACCAACCGCCTACCTTCTCCGTCCTGAACCTGGGAGAACAGCTGGCGCCCACCCCCCTGAACAGAGCAGAGTTGGGGACATGGTAGGTGCTCAGTAACTATTAGCTACGGCACGAATGGAGAAGAGATCCAATAGCGCCTGGCTTACTCTG